GCCTCTCGTGGTGACCCTCGCACCCCCGTCTTTAAGGGGTGTTCCCCCTCTCCCCTTTTGCCCTCTGTTGCCTCTTCTGCTGCGGCCGACCTCGTTGGTCTCGAGTCGGTCGGCGCTACGTCTCCCCCGAGCGGGAGAAGCCGCACCGGCAAGGGCAAGGGGGGCAAGGGCGCTGGAGGGGCTGGCGGGGGCGTTGGAGGTGGCGGTGGCCGCAGTGGAGGGGGTGGGGGTGGTGGTGGGAGTGGTGGCGGGGGTGGAGGTGTCGGTGGCGGCAGTGGAGGCGGAGGCGGAGGCGGCGGTGGCGGTGGGGGCGGAGGTGGCAGAGGTGGCGGTGGAGGAGGAGGCGGCGGCGGAGGAGGCGGAGCTGGTCGGGGTGGCGTTGCGCAGAGGGTCGGCTCCGGTGGTGGTCAGCGCTAGCAGCAGCAGCGCACTCGTGACATCCCCCCCCCTCAGCAGCTTCGTGAGTGGTACGCAGCGGGGTGGGGGTACTGGTCCGTGCACCTACGTCCTATGCACCGACGAACGCGCGGGTGAGCAGTGCGGGGGTGCGCACTCCACCCAGCGCTGCTTTGGTTGCCTGACGGACGCTTGGCGTCACCAGTTCCCTGAGGCAACTGAGATCCCTTGCTGGGGTGAGCTATCTTTGACCTTTACTTTGATGCTATTCTTGGTGCCATGTATGCTGTGACTAATAGTGTGAGGATCTGGGATCGAGCTCAGAAAAGATGATTCAAATTGAAATGAATGATTACCTGGGTGTTACGCAAAGGTTACATAGGCTCGACACAAGGCCCCGTAACCAGGTGTTACGCGAAGGTTCCGCGGGTCGCGAAGTGTCCCGAACAGGTCCTTACCGAATTCGGTAATAGGCAATTCGGTGGCAACCGAGAAGCCAGATTTCGGTGCACGCAACCTAGCTCGGTACTATAACTATAATAACATATAGGAAAGCACCTAGCCTAGGAAATCAAGCAATTCATGCATGCATATGATTATCCTATGCTAGAAATAGCATGATAAAGTAAAGGCAAGCAAGCATAGCTGGCATAAGCCGTCGTACTCTCACAATTAGTGATGAGGGTGACTGTTACCGGTGTTTTCCGCCTGACCCGGGCATTGAGACTACTGCTCTAGGTACTGGTGAGGCTGCTGCTCTAGGTGCTAGCGAGGCTGTTGCTGTAGGTGCCAGTACATCTGCTTCCTCAGGTGCTGGTGAGCCTCCTCTCTCAGGTACCGCGCCGGCTTCGGCCTCCCACACCTTCACCCTTGACTCGGGGGCTTCTCGCTCCTTCTTTCGAGACCGCACCACACTCACGCCGCTTGGTCCGCCAGTTGCAGTCTCTCTGGCAGACCCCTCTTGGGGTCCTGTCCTTGCTCACTTCTCCACTCTCCTCCCATATCCGGCGGCCCCCTCTGGCACCCTCTCAAGTCTTTACCTCCCCTCGTTCTCTACGAACTTGGTAAGTGGTGCTGACCTACAGGATGCGGGGGTTCACAACTTCACTCCTGCGAGTCAGCGGGTGACCCACTGCACGGACGCTCGGACAGGCCGACACCTGGCCACGTTTACACGTCGGCCGGGGTCGAGCGTGTACACACTGACCACTGCGTCTCGTCCTGTCCCTGCGTCTGGTTAGGTAGCTGCGTCGGGTCAGGTGTTCTCTGCAGCATCCAGGTCTGGTCCTGAGTCTGCCCCCTGCTCGTATCGCCTTGGTCACCCCTCCCTGCTTCGTCTCCGAGGCATGGCCTCCTGTGTCCTTGTCTCTGGTCTTCCCAGGTCCCTCCCTCCCCTTCCCCCGGGGCCTGCCCCTGCCTGCGTCCCCTGTGTCGAGGGGCGGCAGCGTGCTGCCCCTCACTTCTCCCAGTTTCCTCCGACAGAGGCCCCGCTGCACACGCTTCACATGGACGTGTGAGGCCCGGCCCGCGTCCGTGGACAGGGTTACGAGCGCTACTTCCTGCTGGTGGTTGACGACTACTCGCGTTACACCACAGTCTTTCCCTTGCGCAGCAAGGGTGATGTCACTGAGGTGTTGATCGACTGGATCTGCGCAGCTCGTCTCCAACTCAGGCAGAGCTTCGGCTCGGACTTTCCTGTTCTGCGTCTGCACTCTGACAGAGGCGGGGAGTTCTCCTCTGGCCTTCTGCGAGCTTACTGTCGTGCACGAGGCATCCGCTAGACCTTCACGCTTCCGGACTCTCCACAGCAAAATGGGATTGCTGAGTGCCGCATTGGCATGGTCATGGACGTCGCCCGTACGTCCATGATGCATGCGGCTGCCCCCCATTTTCTGTGGCCGTTTGCGGTTCGGTACGCGGTGCATCAGATCAACCTTCACCCCAGGGTCTCCATGCCGGAGACCTCCTCAGCTTTGCTGTGGACTGGGAAGGTTGGCAAAGCGTCTACGTTCCGTGTCTGGGGATCTCGGGCGTTTGTTCGCGACCTATCTGCGCACAAGCTGTCCCCTCGTGCTACTCCTTACGTCTTCCTTGGCTTCCCCCGTGACGTGCCTGGGTGGCAGTTCTACCACCCCACCTCTTGCCGTGATCTGTCCTCCTTGGACGTCACGTTTGACGAGTCGGTCCCCTACTACCGCCTCTTCCCCTACCGCACTCCGTCCCTCTCCCCGCCACCGCTCTTCCTTGCACCAGGTCCCCCCCCGCTAGACCCCCTCCCCCCTCAGGGTCCTGCCCCTTCATGTGTGTCCCACGTAGAAGCAGTCGAGCCTGTCGAGGTTGCTGGTGACTCTGGTGCTGCTGAGGGTGCTGAGCCTTGGGGTGCTGAGCGTGTGAGTGCTACGCCTGGGGGTGCTAAGCATGAGGGTGCTACTACCGGGGGTGCTGAGCCTGGGGGTGCTGAGCCTAGGGGTGCTACGCCTGGGGGTGCTGAGCCTGGGGGTGCTACGAGTGGGGGTGCTGAGCCTAAGGGTGCTACGCGTGGAGTTGCTGAGCCTGGGGGTGCGGAGCCTGAAGGAGCTGGGCCTGCTCGTCTCGCGTCTGGCGGTATTGTGCCTGGGGGTTCTCCGGATACTTCATCTCGGCGGGAGCCACTCTCTCCACAGGAGGTGCGCGAGTGGTTTGCTCGGCGCTGGAGGCGTGCTGCTGGAGCTGGAGGTTCTTCGGCTACTGAGGGTGCTGGTGTCGCGTGTCCAGAAGGTGCTCGTACTGGGAGTACAGGAGCTGCTGGGCCTGCGGGTACGACTGCAGCTGGAGCTGCTGAGGGTGTTGGCGCTGAAGCTACTACTGTCGGTCCTAGAGGTGGTCCTGCTGGGGGTGCTACTGGAGCTACTGGAGTTGCTGAGGGTGCTCGAGCTGGAGGTGCTGCTGGTACTAGTGCTACCACTAAGGGTACTGGTGCGGTCCCTGCTGGGTCTAGAGTCGCCGCACGACCTCGGCCGTACTTCGTTCCGCTCCTTCAGCAGGTTCTTGGTCTTCCGCCTTCTACTGGTCCTCCTTCTCCCTTAGAGTATCCACAGCCTGTCCTGTCACAATTACAGTTACAGCTGGCCTCCCCACTGCGTGCTCCTTCTCCCTACACTGGTCCTACTGGAGGTCTTGCTGAGCGTCGTGAGCCTGCGTCTCGACCTGCGTCGCCTGTCCGTCCTGCTCGCACTAATGGTCGTGGTTCACGTAAGCGTCCTCCTCCTGTCCGTGGTACGCACCGGATGTCTCTGCGTCCGTCCACTGCTCCTCTGCGTGCCCCATTGCCTTCTCCTCCTGAGTCCTCTCTTCCTTCTCTTGCCGACCTGGAGTCGGACTCTCTTAGTGCTGCCAGTCCGACTGTCACGCGTCTCCTTGCGACGGTCGTCACTGACCCTTCCTTTGAGTCCACTGCTGCGTCTGCCCTAGTTGCTGAGCTCGTCGACTTTGCTGCTCGCTGTCGTCTAGTCTACGCTGCTAGTCTTGTCGCTGAGTCTGAGTCTATCTGTCCTTCGTCCGTCGGGGGTGAGTGTGCCCTTAGCACGGACGTCCTTGAGGACAGGCAGGAGGAGTTCCAGTGTTTGGCTACTGCTTCACCTCATCTCGTGTCCGTACTGCTTACCCCTGAGGGACACCCGGATGTACTTGAGATCCCGACTCCGCGCTCTTAGTGGCAGGCATCTATGGACACAGAGATGGCTTCCTGGAAGTCCACAGGCACCTACGTTGACGAGGTTCCCCCGCCTGGGGCGAACATCGTCACTCGCATGTGGATTTTCAGGGTGAAGCGGCCGCCGAGTTCCCAGCCTGTCTTCAAGTCGCGTTACGTGGCTCGAGGCTTCAGTCAGCGGCAGAGAGTTGACTACTTTCAGACCTTCTCTCCCACCCCAAAGATGACCACTCTTCGGGTACTGCTGCACATAGCTGCTCACCGTGACTACGAGCTGCACTCTCTTGACTTTAGCACTGCTTTCTTGCAGGGCAGCCTGCACGAGGAGATCTGGCTGCGTCGCCCACCTGGTTTCACTGGGTCTTTTCCTCCTTGCACCCAGTGGAGCCTCCGACGGCCAGTCTACGGTCTCCGCCAGGCACCGCGTGAGTGGCACGACACACTGAGGACTACACTTGCGGCTCTTGGGTTCGCTCCCTTTACTGCCGACCCGTCGCTGTTTCTACGCACCGAAACTTCTTTGCTGCCGTTCTACATCCTCATGTACGTCGACGACTTGGTCTTTGCCACAGCTGACACTGCTGGACTCGCCCACATCAAGTCCGAGCTGCAGAAGAGACACACGTGCACAGACCTGGGTGAGCTGCGCAGCTACCTTGGCTTGCAGATCACCCGGGACAGAGCACGCCGCACCATTACCCTGACTCAGTCACAGATGGTGCAGTAGGTCCTTCAGCGCTTCGGCCTCACGTACTCCTCGCCTCAGGCCACTCCTCTGCCTACTCGCCACTCACTCTCAGCTCTGCCTTCGGTTGAGTCCGTAGAGCCGAGTGGCCCGTACATAGAGCTTGTTGGCTGCCTCATGTATGTGATGACCTGCACACGACCTGACCTTGCATACCCTCTGAGCATCTTAGCACGCTATGTTGCTCCTGGGAGACACACACCAGAGCACATGGCTGCAGCAAAGAGGGTGCTGCGCTACTTGTGCAGTACGTCGGGCATGGGGCTTGTGCTTGGAGGGCGGAGTCCAGTGGTCCTCACTGGGCACGTAGACAATTCTTGGGCTGACGACCAGGCTACGCAGCGGTCGTCACAGGGTTACACCTTCAGCCTTGGTTCCGGCTCTGTTTCGTGGCGCGCTACCTGCTCGTCCTCTGTTCTCGGCTCCAGTTGTGAGGCTGAGATCTACGCTGGAGCCATGGCTGCACAGGAGCTACGCTGGCTCACCTACCTGCTGACTTACCTCGGAGAGCCGCCTCGTTCTCCTCCAGTGCTGTACGTAGACAACAAGGCTTTGCTGGCCTTTTGGAGCGGAGCCTCTGTCGGAGGAAACTCGAAGGAGTGAGGGGCGGCGCGCTGTCGCCCCTCGACGCAGGGGACGCAGGTAGGGCCAGGCCCCGGAGTAAGGGGAGGGAGAGACCGAGGGAGACCAGAGACAAGGACACGGGAGGCCATGCCTCGGAGACCAAGGCGGTGGTGCCAGAGGAAAGTCTTGTGGGACAGTAGATGACACGAGCAGGATGCAGACTCAGGACCAGACCTGGACGCTGCAGCAAACACCTGACTCGACGCAGCTACCTGGCCAGACTCAGCAGCCAAAGGAGACTCAGTAGTAAGGGTGTACAGGCTCGACCCTGACTGAGGGGTGAACGTGGCCAAATGTCGGCCTGTCCGAGCGTCTGTGCAGTGGGTCACCCGCTGACTCGCAGGAGTGAACTGGTCAACCCCCCTATCCTGTAGGTCAGCTCCACTCACCAAGTTCGTAGAGAACGAGGGGAGGTAGAGACCTGACAGGGTGCCAGAGGGGGCTGCCGGGCACGGTAAGACATTGGAGAAGTTAGCAAGGACAGGACCCCCAGAGGGGTCCGCTAGGGAGACTGCAACCGGCCGACTGAGCGGCGTAAGAGTGGTGCGGTCTCGAAAGAAGGAGCGGGACGCACCAGAGTCAAGGGTGAAGGTGTGCAAGGCCTGAGCCGACAAAGTACCTGAGAGAGCAGACTCACCAGCACCTGGGGTAGCAGATGCACTAGCACCTGGGGCAGCAGACGCACTAGCACCTAGAGCAGCAGCCTCACCAACACCTAGAGCAGTGGCCTCAATGCCCGGGTCAGGCGGTACACACAGGTAACAGTCACCCTCAACACTAGTAGTCACTGAATACATGGCAGCAAGGATAGCATCATAGTTAAGATCAAAGATGGCAACCCCCGCCCTAGACAGATCTTTCCAGCGAGGGATCTCTGACGCCTCAGGGAACTGGTGACACCACGCGTCCTTCAGGCGGCCGAAGCAGCGCTAGGTGGAGTGCGGGCCCCTGCACTGCTCACTAGGCAGTCGCCGGTACGGAGGACGTAAGTGTAGGGACCAGTACCCCCACCGCGCTGACGCGAAGCGTACCACTCACGAAGCTGCTGAGGGGACAGGGTCACACCACTCCGCTGCTGCTGGCGTGGACCACCACCTGTCCCACTCCTCTGCACAGAGTCGCGACCCACTCCACCACCGCCGCTGCCGCCGCCTCCGCCGCCTCCTCCACCTCCGCCTCCTCCGCCACCTCCGCCGCCTCCGCTCCCTCCGCCACCACCGCCGCCTCCTCCGCCTCCACTGCTGCCGCCGACACCGCCACCCCCGCCACCACTTCCACCACCACCCCCACCCCTTGCACTACCTCCACCACCACCTCCACCGCCCCCGCCAGCCCCTCCAGCGCCCTTGCCCCCCTTGCCCTTGCCGGTGTGGCGTCTCCCGCTAGGGGCAGACGCAGCGCCGACCGAGTCGAAACCAACGAGGTCGGCTGCAGCAGCAGAAGCAACAGAGGGCAAGAGGGGGGAGGGGGAACACCCCTCAAAGACGGGGGTGCGAGGGTCACCACGAGAGGCTCCTACAAGGACTATGCTCTTCTTTGCTGCTAGGAGGCCCTTCTCGAGGAGGTCAACGGTGAGAGTGGTGGGGCAAACTGAGAGGAAGTGGCCCCTGACTATGCGGAGAGAGTCAGGGAGCCGGGTGACTATGTAGTAGAGGGTGATGTCCATGGGGGGGGGGGTTCTTGGCGCAGAACTCAGCAGGAAGCGCAGCGCGGTAGCGAGTGTCACTAGTGCGGAGGTGCGTAATGAGGTCAGCGACTGTGGGAAAGGCAGCAAGGTCAAGGAAGAGGTACGGTAGCATGAGGCGGCTCAGTGCAGCAGTGGCAAGGGAAGAGTAGCGTGCAACTACAGCGTCGTACAAGGTCTAAGCACTCTTGTACTGGCTAAAGTGTGCACGCTAAGTGGTCGGTAAGTGGCGACGCACAGCAAGACGGGCAGCAGCATCGCGTGTTGCCCACTGTGAGCGAATAGTGCTGTCAGTAGTAGCAGGCGGGGCAGGGGAGGCACCAGAGGTGAGGTCGAACAGAGAGAGGCCGTCTACCCTATCGCACTGGAGGAACAGCTGGAGGTCATCGACCCAGACCTCAAAGTCAACAGCACGGCCCTCAGTGTCAAATGTAAGAACACTGGGGGTAGCCATGACTGCAGAGGTCTAGCAAGTAGTGGGCTCACCAGTACAAGTAAGTAGGGCCGGGGCGCGTCGGTAGGACTGGTAGCGGCTCAGCGGCCCGGCTGCTGGGCGGCTCGGCAGTCGGGCGGCTCGGCGACTCGGCTGCTGGGTGGCTCGGCTATCGGGCGGCTCGTTGGCTAGGCGGCTCGTTGGCTAGGCGGCTCGGCTGCTGGGCGGCTCGGCTGCTGGGCGGCTCGGCGATCGGGCGGCTCGGCGGCTCGGCTGTCAGGCGGCTCGGCTGCTGGGCGGCTCGGTAGAGGCGGCATCGAGGCCGCGTAGGAGGCGGCGTCGGGGCCGCTTAGGAGCGGTAGCGGGGCCGCGGAGGGGTGGCGACGAGGCCGCAAGAGGGCGGCGACGGGGGCCGCTAGAAGGCGGCGACGCGGCCGTTAGAGGGCGGCGACGAGGCCGCGAGGGGCGGCTGCAGGGTCGCTACGAGCGGCGACGGGGCCGCGAACGGCGGTGACGGGGCCGCGAGAGGGAGGCGACGGGGCCGCAATAGGGCGGCGATGGGGCCTCGAGAGGGCGGCGACGGGGCCGCAAGAGGAGGGGCCGCTGAGGGCGGCGCGGCGGGCCGCTAGGAGAGCGGCGACGGGGTCGCAAAGGGGCCGTGAGAGAGGGGGAGGGCTGCTAAGGGCGGCGCGACGGGTCGCTAAGGGGAGGGCGGCACACTGGGCGCGCCTCGGTCAGGAGCGACTCGATCTCAGAGCAGGAAAAAAAGTCGAAGTTCAGTGGTGGGCCCTAGGAAGTTCCCACAAGGGAACCTGCTCTATACAATGTGAGAATTGAGGAATGAAATGAACTAGCACAAAGTTGGGTACAAGTAGGAAACCCTAGGAAACTGTACCCCATAGTGTCTACCCCACTGTAGCCTACACAAGCTTTATAATATGAGTTTGACACAGTGTCCAACAAAGTATCACCCTGATGCGTCAGAATTCACAGCTTGAAGTCAAGGTTGGTTTGTTTGTTTTTTTTTTTTGTTTTTTTTATGCACTATGATTTTCACAACGGTTTATAGCATGGATGAAGTTAATGTCAGAATGTTATTATCTAGCCTGTAGTGGGGTGCTCTATAGCGGGTGCAACCCAATTAGGGTTTGCTATATGTATCCCAACTACTGCTAGTGAAACCCCTCCTTTCTTCAATTTTGTTTCTGCCTGCTAACTTTGACATGGTTTCAGAGCAGGTCGACCCCCTTGGGTCGATCCTGTGGGTAGACCCACCACCTAACTGCTTCCGCTGCTACTCTGTCTGTTGCACCCCCCATGGCGTGCGACGCCTTCTTCGTGCCGTGGGGGACCCGCATGGCGAATTTTTTTTTTAGGGTTTTCTGCCCGCCGTGCGCCTCGAGGCGCGCGGCGGTTTCCTACCGTGGGAGACCCGCGCGCAGCCCCCCGCCCTTCCCGTCGCGTCGCCCTGCAAGCCGTGCACGGGCCTGCAGGCCGCGCGCGGCCCGTTTGCCCGTCGCGCGGCTTTGGGGACCCGCGCGCGGCCCCTGCCGTGCTCGTCGCGGCGCCCTGGGGAGCACGCGCGGCCCCCGCCCTTCTTGTCACGGCGCCCTGGGGAGCCGTGCGCGCCCCCCGCCGTCCGTCGCGGCGCCCTGGGGAGCCGCACGCGCCCCCGCCTCCGTCCGTTTTGGCGCCCTGAGGAGAGACGCGCGGCCCCTCCTGTACCATCCCCCCCCCCCCATGCTGCCCATTCCTCCCGTGCTGCCGTGCGTTCCGCGGTGGTGGGGGGTGTGGGGTGGCGAGCATGGGGGTGTGGGGTGGCGAGCATGGGGGTGCGCGGTGTGGGTACTCCCCTTCCCTCTCCCTACCTCCTTGTTTGTCTCCCACTGCTGCAGCTGCTGCTGAGGGGGGTGGAGGTGTGGGACCCGAGGGGAATGGCGCTAGGGGGGTGACGTGGGAGTGGTGTTAGGGGTTCAGCAGGGGGTGTGTGTCAAGGGTGTGGGTTAGTTGGAGGAGGTTGTGTGGAGGTAGATGTCGTGTCGCCTGCAGTGCCTGTAGTCTGTCGCCCTTGCTTCGGTAGCCAGTGAGCCTGTTGCACCAGTCGCCAGTGGGTCCGTTGCTCCTGCCGCTCGTCTTTGCCGCGGAGCCAGTCACTCCAATAGTTCGTCGCCCTTGCTTCGGTAGCCACTGAGTCAGCCGCTCCTGTGCCCGTGCCTCTGCAGCTTCAGTCGTTGCCTCCCATCTTCTCTCCTTCCACAGTTCCTCCTCCTCCTCACTTGCTCGCTGTGATTACCTCTAGCTTTGCTTATTATTGAGAACTCCTGCTATGCATGCTCATTGTGCTGATTACACCCCACTTTGGCTATGGGGGTGTGTCAGAATGTTATTATCTAGCCTGTAGTGGGGTGCTCTATAGCAGGTACAACCCAGTTAGGGTTTGCTATATGTATCCCAACTACTGCTAGTGAAACCCCTCCTTTCTTCAATTCTGTTTCTGCCTGCTAACTTTGATAGTTAACTAAACTAGTTAGTGCACTGGCTTGTCAATGTGAAACACCTGCTCCATATCATCATTGTCCGAGAGGAAGGGGCTGTCCAACTCGTCCTCCTCCTCCCCCATGAGCTCCTGATTGTCGCCCAAGTCCTGTTCCTCCTCCTCCTCCTCCTCCTCCTCCTCCTCCTCCTCCTCCTCCTCCTCCTCCTCCTCCTCCTCCTCCTCCTCCTCCTCCTCCCCCTCCTCCTCATTCTACCTTGCCGTTCCAACAGCCTGTCTTCACCCTCCTTCGCTTTCCCCTTCCTGTCACGCAGCCAGCTTCGCACTCTTCGCTAGGCGCCTCTTCCTTATGGTTCTCCAGACCTCTAGTGCTTCCGGTCAGTCAATGTCATATTTCAGGAGCAAGATCTGCATCAACTCACTTAGTCGCGCGTTGCAGAGCGCGCCGCGCACCCACGACTTGATGGCGTTTTGCCTGGAAAAACCTCGCTCGCACTCCACGGTTGACAAGGGGAGCACCGCGATCACCTGCCACAGAAGGATGAGGTTGGGCCATCTTCTGCCAGGTACATTCACACAGCAACTCACAACGTGAAGATACGTTAACAATATGTACACTATTTGCGACTTTTCGCGTTGGCCAGAGGAGAGCGTACCTCTTAGAGTCAGCACTCATGAGAAAGTTGTTCAGGCCCTATGCGAAGCTCTCTAGCTCGTGGTGCGTCTCCATTATTGCACAGAAGGTCAGCAGCTCCTTCTATGCGGCCTTGAGGTCGAAGCCCGCCAGCTTGCTGCATCACAGAAGCTAGTCCTGGAACTTCTTCTCCCTTTGTGCCTTGATCTTGGGCCATTTCCCCGACCGAAACAGATTTGTCGGTCGTTGCTTCCCCAGGTCATCCAAGCACTCGTTGAGGTTGTCCACGCAATCGCGGGCGAATCTGCGACACATCTTCATGCACTCGGCGTAGTTGCTTCCGAGCTTGTGCCCCGCGAGCTTCCTCTCGTACATGGTGTAGAGGTAGTTGACTGGGCGTCCCTCCCCGTCCACGCCTCGCACACTGACATTTTTGCATCAACCTTGTCCGTGCAGCTTCAAAAAGCTGACCAGCCAACACTTGCTCTCGCCACCGAACTGCTTGTCGCTCTCCAAGTACCTCTCCGTCAGATTCGTCGTAGTGGACTCAATGGTATTTGAAATTTCTGTCACATCCAGCTGTCAAAGATCAACAATGGAGCACATGTCAGACAGCTGCAATAGTACTACAAACCATGGACGGAGGCCAACTCGCGGCAACATAAAAAATTGCATCTCGTTTCTGGAAAAAATGTTTGAGGTCTTTCATGTTGGTGAGGATGCCGGCGAGAAAGAACATGCAGAAATGGAACTTGTAGATCGCCATAATCTCACGCGCCTATGACCTTGCACAGCTTACGCACCGCATCCCCTCGTGACGGCCACCGAATCGTGTAGATTTTAAGGTTCGTGTTGTAGATTACTCGCTGCAGGTACTTGAAGCGCTGGCTCCATACGCAAGACTTGCCGAGCTCTACAGCCACGGTGCATACCACCTTGTCCACCATGTCCAGGTCTGGATTTCACTCCGCAACATCCTTCACAGCCAGAGCCTCCCTGTGGGACCCAGGAGACAAAAAACATGATGTGTGATTAAACAAATGGGGTATTAATGCACATATTGACTACGGGCAAAGTCACCGGTGAGAGATGCAGTGATAGGAAAACAGATGTGGGACGTGTTCTCGTCACAACTGAGGCCCAGGAATGGGGAAGATTGGATGTGGTCCATCTACACCCTCGTCAGGTAGGTACTTGTTAGAGACTAAGGACGGAAACTACGAAGATAAGGTGTCTAAATTTCTCAAAATCGTTGGGTCTAGTTTCTGGACAGTAAACTCGAGTTCACAAGAAACGTCGTCGACAAAATGTTCAAGGTCCAAACTTCACTAAACTCAAATATGTTGTAGCCCTAATTTGTGGCTACAATTCCCAATTTGAATCGTACGATACGATGAAGTATTTTTTGAGTTATGAATTTC